GTATGTATGTGTGTTTGTGTGTATGTGTTTGTAGAGCGTTATATTCACTTCAGGCTTCTCCATCGTACTTACCCGCATATGCCTGCATACAGGTAAGGAGGAGTGTTTCAGGAAAATCAAAGCGAGGTATGGGAACGCTGCAGTGTACCATGTCATCGGTGACAGCGCGGAGGAAATGGTAGCAGGGAAGAAGGTGTGTATACGTAATTCAGTTTGCTGTCTGAGACAGTGCGAATATTGATAAGTTACAGTCGATACGAGTATACGTATTCATGCGCAGGTGTATGGGATACGCCTGGTGTCTCTGGATGGTTTGTCCCCAAAGGCAGTGTCGAAGCTCCTGTATATGTGGTGTCAGCTTATGACCCGTGGGTTACCACACTGCCGGGTGCTCCCGCGGGTTTCAAATGTTTTAAGGTTTAGTGTGTGGGTTATGTTAGCATTTAGGGCTTAGGGTTTAACTAGGAGTACCTGCTAGGATACTCACATAATCTGCTCAATGATTCTCCTTATCCATCTACTGACACGGTTGCTTCTACCTGTTTCTCTCTGGCTTGTAGTTGGGATGGGACACACATCTCGTGCGTAGTGTAGCGCATCTGAAGCAACTGCTGGTCAACATCCATGGGCATATTTAGCAGTAAATAAAAACAAACAGTATAAATACGGGTTTAAGTTTTACGATGTTTATGTGTAGTTGTGGTGGACCTACACCCAATTTTGAACGTTCTGAGGGCAAGGACTATATCGTATGAGCAAGTACACATACGTTATGTGGATGTCGCTGTATACTGCATACTTTGCTGGATTGATGTGTGTCTACAAGCCGTTCACTGTGTATGTGCTTGCTTTTTCGTCGATCCTTTACTTTCCGTTTAGCCGTTGTACGTGGATTGTGCTGTTCGTCAGATACTTGCCACAGATGTTAGTACAATCTATTGTTCGCATTGTTTAATGTGAGATTAATTGCTATGACTTACCCAGTAGCCTTGTACTGTGGGCTTTGAACATGTACTTCTCCTGAATGTGTATACACACTATATACAACATGGTTGAATCATCAGTGTGGCTGCATGTCAAGTCTGTGGCTCTGCGCCGTAGTATCGCTATATTTATATAGTCATATGTGTTCGTTGTACACGCATTCTATCTTTTGTGAGTGAGATGATACCATGTTCCTCCTGTGTGTTGTGGCGTGCTTCACTTGTGCCAAATGTGTGATCTTATTCTATTTCCGTTGCTCTGGTAACCTGTTATGCCTGTTCTCAATAAGTGCACATGTCGTACTCTGTGTGATGTACATATACTCTAACACTCACATGCTTAATTTGTTGGTGCGATTGCTCGTTATGACTGTTTTTGGTGCATATCACAGAACAAGCTATTTCGATGTGACTACATGCTATAATGTCCAATGTTTGGGTTGTTGTACTGGTTTAGTCTCATTATACACATCGCTATTAAGCGCCTGATGCGTATGATATCACTTAGAGAATGCTTATACGTATTGTGTACTCGTACACTATACTTAGTGCATAAACGGGAGAGATTTGCGGTGACTGTATGACTGTCGTTGTGTTTACTTTGTGGGTGAAACGGGGTATGACTTAAAGGTGTGTACCTCGCACTGTACACCACGGTAGTCCCTGTCTCGCACTGTACATCAAGGTAGTCAGTCTTTCGGATCACGGTATTGTCAAGGCCACCGTCTACCGATATGTACTGGCACCTATACACTTCAGAATAGATACTTGACTACCATGATATCATGACACACTGTAGTTTGTGCTACGTCTGCCGATCCTACATCCACACAAACTTTAGGTATCAATACAGACAACTGCTGGTTACCAAAACCCCAGCACCAAACATGGAACGCGTCGATGGTAGAGAGGAGGTCGATGATGTGAGGTATTTAGGAGTTTTAGATGTATAATGTAGGGCTGCCGCTTTGGTCATGTAGTGTCAACTGTACTGATATTGTAGAATGTTTTCGTTTGTATCTTTGGTATCGCCCCTATGCTCTTATAGGGAATGTTTGGTCTTTAGTGCCATGTAGAATGTTACTGTTAATATCGATAGTATTACCTCTATGTTCTTATAGAGAATGCTTTTGGCTTTCGTGCCGTGTAGAATGTCACGGTTGAAATCTACAGTATCAACCCTTTGTCCTTTTAGAGAATGATCTGGATTGTTTGTGACCAGGTGTCGCAACCGTTTCACGATGGGTGGGGATGTTAGTCTTATGAGTAAACCGTCTTGCACCGGCGGCGGCTCGCTGGGTCCTTGCTCCCATGACTTCCGTAACGTTAAATATCACTGGCTCGGCTGTGCTGTTCCAGGCAAGTTCGCTAGTCACATGTATGCGCATTGGTATAATCTCCGGACAATGTTCTACCATCTTCCTTACTTGTGAGGGGGCGAACCGATAGCCCTGATCCCAGAATTTGTGGATCCCGAAGCTCGGCTGTTGATACCCCTGCTGTGTGCAGAACTCGTGCAACACTGAAGCATTCGGAGCCCGACCACTTTCGGGGCCTACGTGTACACAATAGGAGAAAAACACGTCCTCCGCTGCCCCAGTGGCCCTACGCTTAGCTGCAAGGTTGGGATCCGTGAGACATGCTTTGTGGTGCTCTACATTCCGAATTGTCAGACCACCAGAGCCATAGAATGGACTGGGCGCCCAGTCATTGTGTGAACCGAGCCCGTACGAATCACCCAGTGCACATCCCAAGTAGTTGTACTTCAGGAAATGCTCGATACGGAAGGGAGAGTTTGCACACAATACCGAATCAGACTGGAATATCATCAAGGTTTCGTACGGTATTTGATTCCAGAAGTCTAATTTCAAAAACAGAGCATTGTATAGAGTACGCGAGAATTTCTCGGGCAGGACCACAAGAAAGTGTACCTTCCTCGTACCAAGTAGCATATTCGTCTTTTCCTCCATGAATTCACGGTTCGCTGTCGAGCAGGCTATGACCAGATCCCATGACATAGGTACAAGACTGTTGAAGTTATTGAGAACATACATGGCGCTTTCAATCTGGCGTGGTTCCATGTATAGCATGGCATTCTTTGAGACATCCTGAGTTTGTACATTCTGCTCTAATTCGTCCTCAGGAACCACTGCCGGTTGCTGTTCTGTATGGTCTGAGTTTTCACTTGGGGATGACTCCTGTACTACATAATCTGAGACCTCGCCCGGTGATGAATTTTGTGTAGTGTCTACCTCAACGTATATTGTTTCCTTTGGTGGGCAGTCATTATTTTGACTGACTTCGGATGACACCTCATAAATAGTCAATTTTTTTTTGTTCAAAAACAACCCTACAAGAAGTATAACAAAAACTACCAGGCTTACTACACGAGTCACGCGACGGGATGTAGACCCAGTTGCATTGAGTGGAAACATAGTGGTTACGTTATGTCCGGCTGGATTTATTGGGGCCTGGTACTTATGAATCCAAATAGCGAACACATTCAGTTGAAACAGCCTGCCTAGTTACGACAAGGCGGACAACCAGTCAGGCGGACACAATATATAAATAACTACTATAAACAAAAATGTAAAATATGTAATTGCATTTTTGTTTTTTGAAAATATGTATATTTTGTTTTTCAAAAACAAAAACAAATATTTAAATACAACCCTATGTATTTATCAAGATTCAAGAGTATAAAAACTTCTAAGATAAATAGTCCGTTCAGCCATATTTCCTTTCTTCTCTCACTCTCTGAGATAGAGAGAGAGGGTCATTAAAAATATTTAGGCCCTGTTCTGCAACTCAATATTACGGCCATTTTAGACGAAAATGTCTATTTTTGCACAACAAAAAAGAGCATTTTTCAAAATTCAAAATGGGCATCTTCTCAAAAAATTGTTTTGCAACTCAAACTTAAAAAATATCCATACTTCCAAAATCAACTTTTTTGAACATCTATAATCGCGTTTTTACAAAAGTTTCAAAAGCTGTTTTTGTAAAGAAGAATGGCCATTTCTTTGAATTCACGTAAAAAAAATTGAAACTGTGCAAACTACTCTTTCAAAAATAGAATCGGCCATATGTATGGTTAATCATTATGCAATATGATTCGTTCTTTCGTGGAAAAGGGCGCGTTGCTATACGAATTAAGAGAAGTAACATGCATGGAAATAATGTGCACATTGACAATGTCAAATGTAGATATGTGGCTATTTTAATCAGCCAGGTCAGACGAATCTTCAGCCGATTCAGTCCCAGAGACCTCATCTTCCTCCACAAGAGAATCCATTGATCTAGGCGCGTGAGATGGGTTTGCACTCATTGTGGCTGATAAATGGTGTGGCACTTGCAGAATACGCCTATACTTTATATATTCTAACGATAATGAAACCAAAAATCTCAACAGTTAGCAGCACGAACAAAATGATACATGGCGCGTTTTGAGCAATGGCGCGGTTTCGTTTTTGCTCTTTCTATTTTTGGTGGTATTGATGTTTACGTAAAAAAGCTGCCGTAGGCGTAAATATCGACGGTTGGAAATAATGGCCGTTTTTCAAAAGTATATAGGGAACTCAAATTTTTTTTAGAATGATGTTGTACCCATTTTAACTATAATGAAAATCTGAAAATCAAAATATCGATCTAAAATGGACTTTTTCAAAAATTGACATTTTCATATTGAGCTGCAGAACAGGGCCTTAATTTTCTGCAAGACTATCGTTTTACGTTTATTCCCTGCGGGTCTATCAGAATATCAATCGTTATTATTTAAAAAATCTTTGTCAACTCAGTGGTCTCGGACTTCGGTCTTCGGAGTCTCTCTCTCGACTCAAATCACTGAAATCACGAAAGTGATCGATCGTTTGGTTTCCCAGTTGAACAGGTTTCCCGTTTCCCACGGAGACGGAGTATATACATATTTTTTAAAACGGGGGAGGTTTTAAATCTAAAAAATCACTCAATTTTGCAAAGGTATTAAATTATTGATACATATATTTAAAATTGTGTTTTTCAATTAGATTAAACCATGGCTACACTTTTCTTTCTTCAACTATTTTATGTGCATAAAGCACAGCTCAAAGCGGCACCGCGGCAGCCAGTCAGCCACACAGTCACAGCCATACTCTCTTGAAGTCTCTTCTCTCTCTCTTCTTGTGTGTTGTCCAGTGTCACTGTTTGAGTTGTGAGTTGTGAGACTCGTTGACAAGTTGTGCAACTTCAGAAGTCCAGATATCTTGTTGAATATGCCAGGATACACCACAAGCTCATTACTCATTAGTCAGTACTAAAATAGACAAACCTCACGCAACGTTTTCAGTGGCCACCTAATTATAGTACAATTTCAAGCTTAATACTGAACGGTAGAATATTAACTATTATAGAAAAATATATTCTCTAAAGCCCCTAACAACCCCAGTCATTTTTTTTTGTGTGATAATCTTGCGTGCTAACAATATTATACCCCTCATGTAAAACACTTAGTAACACAACTATACCATACTAATTACTACATATACGTAGTATCTGAACTTTTTGTACCAAACTCTTGTATTGAACCGCTGGATACCGAACCACACCTATATCATTCTAAGCTATACCTCTAGCCAACAAAATTCCGTAGCACTCCAATTTATAAGCAATTACACCAATTCGCCATTTCCACTATATATATTTTATA